TAGGGACCTCTCCAAGCTTCTGCCCAACGGCGTGGAAACTTTTGAACTGGCGGTCTTGTTTGTTTGCCGCAAAGGGTGCTCCTCAACGTCACGAAAAGAGCCGTTTCGGTGACTTTGTTGAAAACCGGGTCGGTTTCTGGCGGGAGGACTTTTACTACAATGTATTGCCAAATCTTCAATACTGAACGGATTGACTTGACATTTTGATAAAATACTCGAAAACAGTAGGTGCACAGTTGGAACAACTTTCATTGAAAAAGAATCTCTCATAATGGAGAACTAGGGCCCCAAAGTCGTAGAGGATAATTAATCCTGGAAGGAAGAAATATATTCAACCCTTCCGCATAGTAAGTAACGGTTGGCCTTTTGCTGCGGAGACAAAAATGAAAAATATAAGCACTTTCAACGTAATTTTTGTGGATCAAAGTAAAAATTAAAGCCAACGCTCTGGAAAAAATGCAGAGCAGAAAGCGCAATAGTAAAATTGTTTCATGCAGAGCGGTCTTATATTATAAGCTGGCAATGCGACTTGGGGCGCCCTGGAAATGAATTTCTTAGAGTCTGACTCATCGTTGTTGTGTAAGAATCGACCCTGTGACGTGGGGTCACATGAGTGGCGGGGCTCCTTGAGGCAGGCGCTGTGGGCATGCGTTCTCGGTGGGCCGGAGGCTGCGCTCGAAGGTGGCCAACCGGAGGCGCGCGGCTATCGGTACCGCGATTGCGGTGTGCCATGTCCACTTGCGCTTGGGGCATGCTTCCCAGCGTGATCCCACGTCGTCACAATAGTCTTGGAAAAGTCGTGGTGTGTCTGGATATTATGGCGATGGTGTGGTGTATGTCCGACAATGGGCCTCGCCAAACCAGGCGCCACTTCCAAAGCTCAATAGGGATTGAAGGTGCGGCTTTCTGAAGCCGTTCCCATGGCGCCCAGCACCCGCCCGTGCCTGTCGTGTGTTCGTTTTGTCCAATCATGCAAGAGCGAGGGATGCGAGGCTGTTACTAGAGTCCCAATCTCTGGGGACGTCCCCGGATTTTCCTGGGGACGGGTTGTGGGGACGTCACCAACCTGGGGTGGGGACGTCACCACGTAGAGGGCGGTTTCCATCCCTAGAGTCCCCGTCAGTGCACGTCGCTAGGCGTGCCCAAATTCTGTCCCCGCCTGGCAGAGACCTCATGTCCCCGGCATCCCCAGGACCCCATATCACCGGGCGTCACTGGATTTTGTCGCTGGGTGGCCAAGGAGGAGCGTTTCCACATCCCCACATCCCTACGGGGGTAGCAGCCTCAAGAGCCCGCCAAGGGGGGGGGGACGTCCATCCCCGCATTCCCACGTCCCCACGTCCCCACAAGGGGGCATGGACCTCAAAAGCCCCCCACGGGGATGTGGAGATGTGGGGACGTGGGGACCGACGTCTCCCCCCCCCCCCCTACTCCCTTTGGGGGGGCCTTAAGGCTGCTGGTCCCCCATGGGGACGTGGGGATGGACTCCCCACCCCTCCCCCTCCAATTGGGGGACGCTTGAGGCCCTTGGCCCCCACGGGGACGTGGAGACGTGGGGACGCGGGGATGCGGGGACGCGGGGACGCGGGGACGCGGGGACGCGGGGACGCGGGGACGCGGGGACGCGGGGACGCGGGGACGCGGGGACGCGGGGACGCGGGGACGGACTCCCCCCCCCTTCCCTCCAATGGAGGGGCTCTTGTGGCCCCTGGCTCCAATGGGAACGCCCGGCAACGTGTGGTTGTGGGGACGCTGGGAACGGCATTGTGCCACCAGGCGGCGACGGATTCTGGAGACGCCCAAGGCCATGGGTGTGTGGGGACGCTGGGGATGGAATCACTCTGCCGGCTGGGGACGGAAGTCAGGGACGGCCCCCCCTTCCCCTCCCTTTCGGGGGCATCCCTGGGGATGTCCCGCTGTCCCTGGGGACATCCCCGGAGGTTGGCTTTTTCTCGGGCAATGTGCTTATTTTGACATGTTCCCATCTACACACTTGTAAACCACGCTCTGCATGTGCGTGCAGAACCCTTGGCAGTATTATTTCCAGCGTACAGGCTGCATTCTACCACGTGGCTGCGGACTTCTGCCTGAAGTGTATGTTGCGTCGGTAACATATCAAACACCGAACGTTGATCCACGGAACTTGTTTTGACACTAGTGTCTCATGCAATTTTGGCATTGGCTAACACTAACGGGATAAGGAACGTATGAGGTTCCCAACGAGTTATGGTTGGGACACGCCTGAGACCGCACGAGGGATGACAGGTGGACACGCAGCCCGAGGGGCACGAGGCCAGATTCCCGACGAGGGCGCGAAGGCGCCGAGTCATCGCCAAGTGCTGTCTCGGCGTCAATCAACCTTCGAATTGGGAACCGGGCTGTCCCCACGGTACACGTGAGGCTGGTTCCTGACTGTCATAAGCCTATCATTCAAACCACAGTCCGCCAAAACTGCAGGCCATACAGGCGGCGCTGCCAGTGCCCAGCGCGCAGTGTGCTCAGGGAGCGCCGCGCAATGCGGCGCTGTGCCCAGCGCCAGTGCAGGCAGGCAGCCGCTCCTTGCCGCGGTCATGTGCCCACTGTGCGGAACGCGCCCCACACCTTGAGATCTGCTTATCGTCTTGGCCACCGATGGCGGGGGCGCCGACCCTGGATCGCCACGAAAGTCAGCTGCTGGCCAACGGAAGGGAGCCCGATGGAAGTCGGACCTCGGAGGGCAGGGCGCGTGGGGTGCTGACGAGCCAACCTCTTCGTTTGGATCGATAGCTTGGTGCGGTTGTGCAGAATTGCACAAGCGTCGATTGCCCGAATCCCGTTGGCATGGGCTGATCTCAGCGCCCGGGTTTTGCCCGTGCGACAAGCGAGCGAGCTGAAAACGTCGCGTGTCAGCTGCTGAGTGCTTTTCGCGTGCTCCGTGTCGTGCCGGCGGAAATTGCGATGGGCCATTGGGAATTGCTGTGTGGGGAGGGCTTACCCCTGCCCACCTCGCCAGTTCTTCGTCCAATCCGTGCATGCTCGGTTGACCAAGTCGCGGGCGCTCGGCGACTCGGGTTTGGCGCCTTTTGCCTGCACTGCGGCTGGACGTTTCGCGTGCGTTTTTGCGGGTCCTGCCACCCTCGCCTCAACGCAGTGGTTGTCGCAGTACTGCAACTGCCATCTCAGCGCTGGCCGGTGGCGGGCGCCAGAAACGGGACAGCGCTGGGAGGGTGGGAATCACTGGGGGGGGTGGGAATCGCTAGGGTCGGTGGGACATGTGGTTCTGGTTGACCCTCGTCAACAGGGACGCCCAGTCTGGGCGGCCCAGAGCCACATGTCCCGCCCCCGCTCCAGGGCTAGGGGGGCGGAATCCGCGATTCCGCCCTCCTGGTGCGTGGCCCAGAGCCACATGTCCCGCCCCCGCGCCAGGGCAGGGGGGCGGAATCCACGATTCCGCCCTCCTGGTGGGCTGGTACTGGCTGATTCCCGCTCCTCTGAAGTATTGCCCTAATGTACTAGCCCCCAAATTGCCGTTGGGACAGCAGTGAGTTTACAAGAATGGCTCTGACAAAATCACACCCTGTGCATGCCTCCATTGCAACGTCTCCCCCCCTCCCTGCCCTCTTTCCTGGGTTTCAGAACGGCCCTTGGTACTGCAGTTGACGCGGTGAACCCATAGATCGGTATTCGTCAATTTTCTGGCAGCCCGACTTCGCACCGGGTTGCTTCACCGCGTGCGGCCATATTGGTGCGCCGCCGACAACGAACACGTGCGGGTGCCTGGCTGGTGCGCTGCTCTCAGCGGCACCATTCGAATCCAGGCGTCGGCTCTTGAGCAAGATACCGTCAGGAGCTCTCAGCCGCCCCATCGTTTGAAAAACAACTCAGTCCTCCAAACCTGTGGTTGAGATTCCCGAGGTCGGCGGCGCATCGAAGTGGGGGGAAGCCGCGCCAGGTGGAGAAGTTGGCCCGGATATTAATATATGGATTGGGACGGGTGCGCCATCTTCTGTTGCTTGCTAGTCCTTGGCGGCTCCCAGAATACCTTGGCGTTGTCGGATTTCACTCCCAGTCCTGACGGTCGCAGCAGCCAGTGGCCTTCTGGAACGGATCCTGGCAAGATCGCCGCGGCGGCGTGAGGAGGGTCGAGTGGAGAACCATCCTCGGAGATCCGGGACACAGCTGACGAGAAATGAGGGAACGGCTCGCCCCGCGGGGAGCCGCAAACTTGCGGCGAAGGTGGAAGGAGCGACCCGTACTGAGGCGATGGGGACGGAAGCGCACAGGAACACTGGTTCCACTCGCCTCCCGGCGGGTGTGGCGCTGCGGGCCTCTCCAGGAGCCAACCTTCCCACTTTCACAACCCTGTGCAGCCCTCGTTCCCCGTGCTGCCCGTCGTTTTGGCACATGGCCTTGTCCTGAAGAACATGCTCCAACTCACGTCGACGGGTGCTGCAGTCAGACGACATTTCTCTCTTGCTTTGGGAGACATAGATGTGCACTTTCCTTTTCCGGATCGCACGGCGAGTCTGACCCGGTTTGTGCGGTTTGTGTCTCCACAGGTCGACACTTTTAGGCTCGAAAAGGCCAGCGCCAGCGCTCCGCAACGTCAGGCGGTCCTTCAGCGAGGGAATTCTGCCAGGGACAACGAATTGGCTTTGCGGGGAGGTTCTTTGGAGCCGCTTTGGCAGGAGTTGCCCTGCGCTCCGCCTCTCGACCACCACCTCCAACAAGCAGGGCACAAAGCTTGGGGTGCAGCCCCAGTGTGTCGGCAGGGGCCATCTGCAAGGTGAGTCAGCACACGTGCAATCCCACCAAGTTCGGCTGTGATGTTAGAGCCAGCTAAAGTACTATCCCAGGCTGCCACAGGATTTCCCGCAAGTGTGGGCTGCCCTTCAATGCAAAGGGCACAGGTGCTGCGACCACTAACTCGCGCTCTGCGACAGTGCTCCCCTCTGCTTGACAGGACTTTCCTTTCATATTTGCAACCTGGCTGTGTTTGGATGAAGGTGGGCTTTCCCAGCATGTTTGGCGGGGGGGCTGGAAACGAGTTGGTTGTGGCAGTGGACTTCGGAACAACTCGAACAGCCTATGCCACCACACGACGAGGGACGGACAAGAACGATATTGAAGTCAGCATACCCTCTGGAGCGAGCAGGGTATCCATATTCCATGATTCCAAGACACCGTCCAGCATTCTTCTCAACGAAACTGGGACGAAAGTAGTTGCGTACGGATACGCTGCAGAAGAGAAATACGCCAACAAGAAATATGAGAGTTGTCTGTTCTTCCGGCACTTCAAATTGGGTTTGGCAAATGCCGCAGTGCCAGATCCCAGTGTGAAAGCTCTTAACGGAAGGTCGTTGAGGCTTTCTGTTGTGATATCTAAGGCTCTGGAGTATGTGAAAGATGACGCCGTCAAGAATTTGAATGCCAAGGGATTTGCCACTCGAGCGACCAGCATAATCTGGGTCATCACAGTTCCAACAATGTGGAATGATTGGGCCAAGGAAATGATGAGGAATGCAGCCTACAACGCTGGCATGATTTGTGAACTTCACTCTCCCAATCTCAAAATTGCTCTGGAGCCGGAATGTGCTTGCATTTCCTTACAAATGGAAAAGGTTCAAGGCGTTCCGTGTGGTGTTGGAGATAAACTGATGATTGTAGACTGTGGTGGTGGCACTGTGGATATAACAGCCCACCAAGTGGAGCAAACAGATCCCCTGAGTCTCAAGGAACTGATGGCTCCAGATGGTGGCCCGTATGGAGCCATGTGTGTCGACGCAAAGTTCTATGAATTCCTCGAAGCCTTCATTGGTGGCAGCAACTATGATTCTCTTTGTAAACGAAGGGAGTTCCTTGCTGTAGCGTGGAACTGGGAGGACAAAAAAGTGTCCTTTACAGGGAGTGAGAATGACGACGACAAGTGGTTGGCTGCGTTGAATTTTGGGGACATCCTTATAGCCCTCAATATGAATGGGCAGATGGGAACCCTCATTTCGGAGTGGAATAAGAAGAACCACCACCGCCGAGTGGAGGAACTCGATTCAGGCACAGTCGGCATTTCCTTCAACCTCATGATGTCATTCTTTGAGGGTCCCATTCAAAACATCGTGGACAAGATCAATTCGATCGTAATATCCCCACACAACAGGCCATCTCTGACAGGCCTTGGTTGGGTGGTGATTGCTGGAGGGTTTGGGCGGAGCGCCATGCTGCAGAAGAAGATCCGCGAAAATCTCCAAGACAGAGACTTCAAAGTTGTCATTTGTCCACATCCGGATCTCGCCATCGTCAAAGGCGCAACGGCGTTTGGGACAAGACCCGGTACGCTTGAATCCAGCAAGGCAACATCCGCCCACCGCATTCGCACTGGTTGCGTCCTTGTCCCGGCATATCTAGTCATCGTCCAATGTATCAGAACGGCTATGTTGTTGAGGCTGATTTGTGACAGCATGGTGACAAACGCAAGTCTCGGCCCAAGGTATGTCAACCGCGTCTGGAATAGCAGCAAGGATCTGGTCTACCTGTGACAAGCACCGGATATTTGCATGCTTCTATGGATCTGCTGTAGGGAATTACACAGGGTGCATGTCTTGCAAATATAGTCGTACTATACATGCTGGCCAGCGGACACTAGAGGTATCATTTTGAACGCAAATCAGCTTGATTTGCTTTCGAAATGGCATTCCTAATGCACGCTGCCCGGCATTCCAATTCTGATTAAAAGTACTACAGTAGATTTCAGAGTCCACATGCCGCATCCTGTCCTAGTAGAAGAGATGGGGCGTCTGTGCCACACGATATGGAGCTCCACAGCGATGGAAAACGAACAATCCTTTCGTATTTCAGTAACGTGTCATTCTCCAGAAGAGAAGATAGTCACCTGGTAGTCACCAGGTTTGGGGTGGATGGTTGCTGGAGCATGGAGCTTTGGGTGGGGATAGATCACAAGTTTCTTTGTGAGTCTCTGTTGCGATGTGGCTGCCTTTGCAGCAGTGCAATGTCATTGCGATAACGCACATTTTGTACCATAAAGAGAGACTTAGACATCTGACAGGGTATGCTAGCAAGATACCCAATTTAGAAGATGCAAAACAGTTATAATTCACTTGTGCGTGCTCAGCGTGCCGCATATTTGGAGGTATGGAGTCGCTGTCGGTGGCAATACAATTTTTCGCTGCATTACCCAAATGAATTCTGAGGATATCTGTAGCCCACAACCCACTTGCCGATCGAGATGGAAAGCATGTATAATGAGTGTCTGCGAGTTTTGTTGTCTAGTTTATCCAGTTTTAATTACTGTTGTCTTTGCTGAAGCAGATATGAAATGCTCTGGTTACGCTCCTCAATCCATCAGAAATAGCCAGGGCCTAGCTAGAAGCTCGCTCTAAAATCGTGTGTTGTATTTTGCAGAGGACTATGCCACAACATTCGCCCGGGAAAGATCAATCCTGGAGCAGCAGATTCAACGATTCAGTTTGGCTGTGAATTGGGGCGATGCCAAGATCAAGGAATTGGAGCGGCTAGTTCACGCTGAGCGTCATGAGTCGCAGTGCAAAATCGAAAACCTGACAGCGCAGCTTCAAAGCATGGAGGAGGAAAAATTGGAGATGGCAAGGAACCTAACATTCCTTCTGCGTTCCCAGAGCTTTTCGGGGCCGTGCGACTTCCCCCTCGAAACCGAGACGACGCTGTACCTCAAGAAGGCCACGAATACTTTCGAGACTCTGTATTACCGAAACTTCAACAAGGCTGTGAAAGGCTTCAGCACCCTGTCTTGCCATTGTGAGCTGTCCCTGGAAATGGCGGCAATGCTGCAATTGATATGGGCGCGTGTTCGCCGCCGGTATGAACATATACTGAAAAAGATGCTGGACGGTCTTGAAGGGCTCGAGAGCGTCGAGAACGCAAGCAATGCGACCAAATCGTTCTGTGAGCTGTACTGCCGCAACTACTGGAAGGAGCTCTTTCTCGGCAAAGACATTGTCAAGCAGGTGCGAGCCAAATTGGTGAGGTGGAGGCTTAATATCTGTGGCAGTAGTTCAAGTTCACCAATGGGTGCATCGATGCATGAGCGAGTCCAGTATGAGGTATCTTAAACTAGATTTGCACATGCTGGGCGATGTCCTGCCCCATATACCAAATGTTTTGGCATGCACAACCGTGCGCGGCCAACGGCAGAAGTGAGAAACATTGTAGAATTGTCTCAGGAAAAAATTGCAGTCAGGAAAGCCACGGTCACAGCCTCTGCATTTGCTCTTGGACAACATCAAGCACACGATTGTCATTTAGGGTTATGGCGCCAATTTTACGTTCACACTTTTATGCAAAAATGCGCATAAACATAGAAACGGCTTGTTTTACCGCTATATTTATGTATTTTGCTCGAGCATTGAGGTACCCTGGTTACATGATGAAGTGGCAAACAAGGATCAGCACTCTGCCCCCTCGAACACCCACAACACAGCGTCCACCCCGCCCTCGGCAATGGCAGCGATTGTCACTACGTCTCCAGGCAAAAGTTCATCCTCTGCCCACTCCAGCGGTCCATCTGGTTGGCGCTGCCTGGACTCCCCTATGCGCTTGGGCTTCAACGCCATGTGGGCAGGTGGCGTGGGGTCTCTCAGGTCCATAATGTGCTTGGTAAGCGACCCCAAACACTCCCTTGCGGCCCACCGCGAGCGAAGCCCATAGCCGGCCCCCAATTTGCCTGGCAGCTCAGGTCTATGTGCAAAGAGCCCGTACTTACACAGTTTTGTACGTAAAAATAAAATTAATTTTGTACATGTAAGTACGTGAATCCACGCTGTGTTTGCCTTGCACATAACGAGCTTGATCAAGCGCAAGTTGCGGCATACCTCAAAGTATTCTACAGGTGCACCCTCCCATGGAGCAGGCTTTTCAGGATGAAATTCCATGAATTCCACGACGTCACGTTTTCCAAAGAATCAATGGAGTGCAACTACCAGCAGTGAGGCGACCAGAATTGCGAATGAAAGAATAGATGGAAAGAAAGAAAACTGCTGCTGCTGCTGATACATGCATACGGAAGTCCACAGCAACAGTAACCTGAATGATATCAGTCAATTGCCCTCATCAATTTTGACATCAGTCTTCGAGTTTCATGTCCGACGGGAACATCTTCAAGTGCTTTTTGCACATGGATATCGTTGGATCGAGGTGAGAGGGATATGATGCAGGTGAAAGACTTTAAGCATCATAATGGGCAAAGGAGCGTGCTGTCAACATTTTTCGTAGAGTATGTGGACTACAGTGGGCTGAGGCTGTGCGCCTTGCACATACGAATTGGCGCAAATATCGTACAAACTATGGACATTTGTACTTCCTCAACTCAACCGCAGTGCGTCATTGGCAGAGTCAACAATGGACCCAGTGAAGAGTGAAGAGTGGACACCCTTCCCCCATGCTGCGTAAGGACCATTGCTTTGGTGGGGTTATGTTCCCATCCTGATATCAGCAGCCCATTTCTGTGGCGGGTGGCAGGACGGCATGAGCTTCGAGCACAACTTCTGGGCTGCAAAGGCCTTCGAGGCCTACTGCGAGTCTGATAAGGGGTTGTCAAACTCCCTCATGCTTGACATTGCATGGCGGTCGTTGAAGAATCCACAGCCGGAAGATGGCAAATTCGTGAACTTCCAGGACAGCGGCCTGTGGAAGGTGTTCAAGCGGCTCTGGGATGCAATCGTCGTGATGTACCTCCAGAGGCCCAGATTCGAGTTTGAATTCACGCCACATGCAGGTTGGATGGAGAAAACAACTTACAATTCGAGACACCACCAATTGTTGGATGGGGCCTGCAAAGAGGGGGACACAGTCATAGTCATCATCCCTGCTGTCTACCAGGACCGGACAGGTTCTGGTAGAAAGATGCGAAAGCTTGCACATGTGGTGCCGAAGGAACGTGGCAAAGCAGGGAAGGATTGGCCAGGAACCCCATGCTATATTAGAAGTGCAGGGGGCCCCGATGGGTAGCTTTTAGACGTGGGTGTTGCAGACGTTGCTGAGCACCCTATGGATCCTCTGAAGGAGGGGATCTTGGTGGAGAAGACAGCGTGCAGGATGCTGGTCAATAGTAGGGAGTTCATGCAATCAACTTGTCGTGGACCCTGAGTAGTGGTAGATATGCAGCAGCGGACATCCAAAAGGCAAAAGCGGCAACAAAAGCTGCTCCCTCCAAAGGAGGGCGTCCCAAGAAATGGAGTCTCTAGAGCGCCCATGCAAGGGCAGCAGCCATTCAAAAAAAATTGCTGTCGGAGCTATGATCCATCAGATGGGCAACCAAATGGCAGGGAAGTCTGGAGAGGGAAGATTTGCAAGCCAGGGGAGCCTCGACAACAGGGGCAAACGAGGTAATGTGACAGGGAGTCTTGGATGGCAGCAAGCAATTGTGACCGAATGTGGTTTGTACACCAGGACACGTGGAAGAGAGGAAGAGTGTGTACCCACTCAAGATGGGGTTCCTTGCAGCAATCGCCAGCTTGTGTGTGTTACACTGAAGAATAAGGAATGATTGCATCGCCAGCATGGCCACCATGAACACACTTGCATCTTGTCTGCAGAGAAAGCATATGAAAGTTCCAATTTTTTAAACCAGCCTTTGGCATGATTGAGGAAATAGAAACAGTCTAACTGTTTTGTGTGTCATGTCACATAGTACCTACCACACCTTTCAGCAATTTTCATGGGTCGTCGACAGTTTTGTTTTGGTTGATAAATGTTGTTGTTTCGCATTTCTTCTCGTGTTGCACCTGCCAGCAGTAGCTGGAGGCAAGAAATTGAAATCTTTCTGGCCTGCTTTCTCATTTTCTTGTTGGCATGGTGCATATTGCCAACATCTCCATTGGGAGGGCGTCCAGTCTTTGGACTGCACCAGGTACCTGTGCGCTTGTTCAGTTTGACTCCGCGCAATACCCCATCAAGACATTTCAGCCAGTCCAACGTTGTGTGTGATACGGGCTGGCACAAACTCATATTACATGAGTTTGCATGTTTCAGCACACTGTGTGGATGCTTGTGTATGGCTGCAGTAATATGTCCAGCACTTGTCCAAGTCCAGCCCTGGTAATTCCTGATTTTCGACTCCCAAAACTACATGCATTTCACTGCAAGTAAACTCTTCTGAAGCTACAGGGTGCACAATAACTTGCCGTGTGCTGCTTCACATCGTCTCTTTCCTGAACCACAAACCCTGAGATGTGAGCTGGCACCCCTGTTGGTGCAGCGCCAGAGCTTTCATGTGAGTACCTCCATGTATGGGCCTTTATGCTATCTCAGTCTCTTTTGAGTACTTTATCTTGTATTACGATTCTATGGCCCTAAACTGTGGCTGTGATAGGGACAGCTTCCGTGGTGGATACAGAATTGCCCACAGCACTTTAAATTCTTTCAGCAAGGTTGTGGATATCCGTACGCAACTACTCTCGTCCCAGTTTTGTTGAGAAGAATGCTGGACGGTGTCTTGGAATCATGGAATATGGATACCCTGCTCGCTCCAGAGGGTATGCTGACTTCAATATCGTTCTTGTCCGTCCCTCGTCGTGTGGTGGCATAGGCTGTTCGAGTTGTTCCGAAGTCCACTGCCACAACCAACTCGTTTCCAGCCCCCCTGCCAAACATGCTGGGAAAGCCCACCTTCATCCAAACACAGCCAGGTTGCAAATATGAAAGGAAAGTCCTGTCAAGCAGAGGGGAGCACTATCGCAGTGCGCGAGTTCGTGGTCGCAGCACCTGTGCCCTTTGCATTGAAGGGCAGCCCACACTTGCTGGAAATCCTGGGGCAGCCTGGAATAGTACTTCAGCTGGCTTTAGCATCACAGCCGAACTTGGTGGGGTTGCACGTGTGCTGACTCACCTTGCAGATGGCCCCTGCCGACACACTGGGGCTGCACCCCAAGCTTTGTGCCCTGCTTGTTGGAGGTGGCGGTCGAGAGGCGGAGCGCAGGGCAACTCCTGCCAAAGCGGCTCCAAAGAACCTCCCCGCAAAGCCAATTCGTTGTCCCTGGCAGAATTCCCTCGCTGAAGGACCGCCTGACGTTGCAGAGCGCTGGTGCTGGCCTTTTCGAGCCTAAGAGCCTGAGAGCTCCTGGCGGTATCTTGCTCAAGAGTCGACGCCTGGATTCGAATGGTGCCGCTGAGAGCAGCGCACCAGCCAGGCACCCGCGCGTTTTCGTTGTCGGCGGCGCACCAATATGCCCGCACGCGGTGAAGCGACCCGGTGCGAAGTCGGGCCGCCAGAAAATTGACGAATACTGATCTATGGGTTCACTGCGGCAAGCGCAGTACCAAGGGGCCCTTCTGAAACCCAGGAAAGAGGGCAGGGAGGGGGGAGACGTTGCAATGGAAGCATGCACAGGGTGTGATTTTGTCAGCGTCATTCTTGTAAACTCACTGCGTCCCTTATCCCGTTAGTGTTAGCCAATGCCCAAATTGCATGAGACACTAGTGTCGAAACAAGTTCCGTGGATCAACGTTCGGTGTTTGATATGTTACCGACGCAACATACACTTCAGGCAGAAGTCCGCAGCCACGTGGTAGAATGCAGCCTGTACGCTGGAAATAATACTGCCATGGGTTCTTCACACACATGCAGAGCGTGGTTTACAAGTGTGTAGACGGAAACATGTCAAAACAAGCGCGTTGCCCCATCATTGCAAATTTTCGCCCAGGAGACAAGTGGCCTCCATTGCAAGCAAAAACCTATGGCATGCACGTAATGGAAAAATGGCAACAAAAACGACAGGAAAAAGGGCGTGAATTGGGACAAG